GATGATCTAGTTGGCGATGGTCCTGCTTTGAGCAGAGGATTGGACTAGATGTGACCTCCTGAGGTACCTCTCAACCCTCATTTTCTATGATTCTCTAAAGAATAGAAGCTCAGCAAGCGCAGCCCTCCCTGGACTCCCCCTAAGTTTCAGCAGTTTCTGTTTCTGCCTTCCAGGTGCAGCTACAGATGCCAGAGAAGGCTCCTCCATGATCTGTCCTCCACCAGCCTAGCACAGCCACACTCCTCTATTATGTTGACAGTGGATGTGATTCACCATATCCATGCACCCACCTTGCTGAAAAGCTTTTGAGGTCTTCTAGGAAAATCTGAGTCTCTCAAGAGACAGAATTGCATGCATATTGCTTATAGTAAGCCTGAGGCTCAGCTGAACCCTGGGGGATTCTGGGAGGAATGAGGACTCTCTTGAGGCTGAGGTTGGACCTGATGCACATCAGAATTTGAATCCATAAAGCAAGTCCTTGCGTCTTACTGAGGGGTTGTCAGAGAACAGTCTGTGGACTGTGAGATCAAAGGATGAACAGCTGTCAACTTTTGTGCTACACCACGAGTCATGCATGTCACTGCTACTTTTTCCTCTATGCTGTTAGACGAGGTGTGCAGGAGGCAGAAACCTATTCACTGTACACCTAAGAAGCATGGAGGAGCTGTTAGAAAATTGAGACGAGGATGTTAGGGGAACCTGGGGGGTTAAAGTCAAATGGTAACAGCTGTTTGAGAGCTAATCTATTTTACTGGAGCAGCCAGACTATTCCCAAGGTCAGATACTTTCCAAAGACAACCAGTCAAAGCTGGAAAAGAGACCTGGAACATGTTTATGGAGAGATGCCCATCAGTTGTCACCCACTATAAACTGGAGTTAATATGAAGCTCCCCAAGAAAAGTAAATGTTCTGCAATAACTTCTCTACAGCAAGGGGCAATGACCCACCACTATGAATGAAGCCCTCAGTGAGGCAGTTGCAGCCAGGATGAGGCCCCTTAAGTTGACCAGCACCAGACTGGTACCAGCAGAGTTTTGATCAAAACACAGCCCACAAGATGAAGGACCTTCCAACAGCTGACATGCTTGTCACTGTGATGCGATTGACACGTACAGGAGCCACTGGACTCAGGCTCTTTATGAACAAGACATCTTCCGCTAGTCAGAACATCCAGGGGCTGGCAGCATCCCTGACCCTTTCTTCCTCTCTCGTGCTGAACTTCATTTCTCTTCTAAAAAAAAAAAAATAGTGTCCCAACTGGCTTCTCAGGATTGGTGACTCTGGTAACACTTTGTATCCACTCCTCACCTGCAAGATCCAACCCAGAGTGGGTTGGACCCCTCCAGATGAGGGGTCTGATGCTAGGTCTCTGTAGTTGGCAGGGGGATAAACCACCCTCTCTGTCTGATGATAAGTCAAATTCTACACGCTGTCACTCCAGTTTCAAGTATAAGGCTCTGGGATTTATACATGTATAATGGTGAACACAGTTGGCCCCTATTATCCTGTCTGATTTCCTATTACAACTTGATGTCCTTTAAGGGCTCTTTGTTACTAACCCTTTGATTTGCTAGAAAGCATCTGTACCTCCTTGCTACATTGAAACTGCACATGAGTAGCCCTCAATGGGTTTAGTTTAAAAGGGGAATTTGATGAAGGGCCTAGTAGCAATGAAAAAATTGGATTAAAATTTTATATTTAAGAAGATTAAATATGCAGCAGAACTTTGTAACATAATCATCTCCCATATAGAGATCTCCAAGAGCTTTATGAACGTTAATTTAAATTCCCAACCCTTTAATTAAATGGTAAAAACTCTGCAGTTGGAGTAGGGTTTTAGATTTTAGTACAGCTGCTGCTCATAATTCTTGTTAGATCAGTTGATTTCAAGCCCTGATGATGAACCAGGTGTGAATTACAATGTGACCTACCCCATTTTGCTTCTACAAAGTACAGGTTTCCCTCAATTTATGCTGTACATTGATTCAAACTTGCATAAAGCAAACCCACTTTACAATGTAACAAATAGGGATAGGTTCCCATGGCGGTGAGGGAGGGAGTGAGGCTGGGACTAGGTAAGGGGCAGGGGTGCCGCTCCTGGGGCTGCACAAGGTAGCAAAGCAGAGGGTACAGAGCGGCACTCACCCCAGCCCTGGCTGCAGCGGCCCTGGGAGTGACTGGTGCCAGCTGCCTGCACCATGCTTCACCTGTCCCCATTCACCTCTGCTCCTGGGCTGCGTCGTGCCCTGGTGCAGGCAGCTGGTGTCGGCTGCTCCCGGGGCCGCTGCAGCTGGGGTGAGTGGGTCCATGGCCTTTTCTCCTCCCCCCACAGACTTACCTCTTTGGGCAGGGGGGCATCTATGCTGATCGCATAAGAGTGAATTTATCTCACATATAACAAATTATGGGTGTAAATATGCTCATCGCATAAGAGCAAATTCGCACATAAAGAACCCGCATAAATCGAGGGAAACCTGTACTGGAAAAAAATACCATTCTGAACTGAACATGTTTAATTATAAATACTCAGTTCTGGCAGCTGCAATTCTCAAAAGTGCACCTCCCTTGGAACCACGCAACATGAACTCACTGCTCAGAATGCTGCAGCATCTCTACCGTGACACGAAGGACCGAAGTGTTAGGACCATTGGGATTTGAATCTGGAGCACCCAAGCCAATAGGCATAGCTTAAGCCTTTAAACACCACTAGGCAACTGGTCAGACACCAGCCCCAGCCCAGTCTTGTCCCTCCCATGAGGATACTGATGAGGTCAGGTGACCAGAAGGAACCTATAGACACTGTGAGCCCAAGGGGCAGGGAGGGCTATAAAACCCCTTTTACTTCCTGTGGAACTTGTCCCAGCAATATTGCTTGCATGTGTGCTCCTTGGGCCTCTGCCTTGCTCCAGCTGGATCCCAGCCTCACCATAGTCTGTTTGGACCTTCTGCCCTGATACTGCCTCAACCCTTGGCCTGAAGACCCAGGCTGTGACTGTATGATTCTGTCCTGCCTATGATAATTCACTGAGTGACTGCCTTCACCATTTCAAAGCTGGAGGCCTGCACTACTGCTACCTGGATGTCAGATTTAGGCAGCATCACACATCTCAGAGACCAGCATGCTACATG